TGTACATGTATGTATGTATATATGTATGTATGTATGTGTGTATGTATCTATGTATATATGTATTTGTGTGTGTATGTACATATGCATATATATGTGTGTGTATGTACGTATGCATATATGTGTGGGTGTATGTATGTATGTATATATGTGTGTGTGTATGTATGTACGTATACATGTATGTGTGTGTTTATTTCTATATGTACGTGTGTATATGCATGCATGTATATATGTATGTGTGTGCATGTATATATGTGTGTGTGAATGTATGTATATATGCATGTGTGTAAGTATGTGTCTCGAATCACGTACCTTAGATTATATTTTCTGTCACCCTGATCACCTTTGAAAGTTTTCAGTAAATCTGTCCTGTAAGTTTCATTTATCCTATCTGCTCCTGCAGTGTTTATTTATACAATGGCATTTAAGTTTGTCTTCTCTGCACGCTGGTAGAGGGCGTCGTCACTGTTTGTTTAGCTTTGTCTTCACAGCAGCCAGCAGCAGCTGTTTAGAGCTCAACTGGCTGCACCTGTCACTCTCACCCTATATAAGCTTCACTCTTTCTCCTCTTTGGTGCCTGGTAGTTGAAAACAGTTTTCTGCAAGTAGATACCTTGCGTTCATGATCCTGTTTTGTTTCCCTCTAGCCAAAGTGTTTCCCTGTCATAGTTTACTTGTTCTCCTCATTCCTGTCCCGCTGCTGGTTCCTGTCCTTACCTCTCGGCTCGACCTCCCGGCTCCTGGACCCACGACTCATCAGGACATCGTCTCTCGCTCGACCCCTTGGATTATTAAGCCTTGTGTCTTCGGTTCTGACCTTCACCTGCACGACTACGGCTCTTTGTCTTCTCCTCCGGTCCCTTCAGTCATTTGCTCTTTGGTTTTGGGCCCTGGCTCGTTGGACCACGACTCTGCTCCTGACGGACTCATCACCTGCCTGTTGCTGTGGCCGGCTGCAGCCCCTCACCGGACTCAGCCTCCAGCAGCGGTCCAGATCAGTTTGGACTTCTTCAGTCTCCAGAACCCCCAAGATCATCTGAGATGGTTAGTAGTCCTCATTCTTTGACTTTTCTGCTCCCCATAGTCTCCTGCACGACTACTAACTGATCTCTGTCTCATAGACTTGTCCCTACCCGGAATCTGTACCAGAACCAGTACCCGAACCAGAACCAGTAACAGAACCGGCCCAATCTGCAATATTTCAACTAGAAAATAAATATCATTTAATTTTTACTTAGTGTGGTGATTTTGGTCCAAACATAAGGGGGTTTGTTACAGTATGTATGTATGTGTGTATGTCTGCATGTATATATGTATGTGTGTTTATGTATATATGTATGTGTGTGTATGTATGTATGTACATATGTATGTGCGTATGTATGCATGTATATATGTATGTATGTATGTGCGTATGTATGCATGTATATATGTGCGTATGTATGCATGTATATATGTGTGTATGTATGTATGTATGTATGTATGTATGTATGTATGTATGTATGT